CTTATCGTAGGGCCACCGGACTTGTGCAGGGTGTGTTGTCGTGACGTGAATTTTCTTATAAACCTCGTTCTGGTGTACCTTTTTTTTTTTGAAACAGCCTAACCTACACTACCCATACATTATTTTTTTTTAAATTAACAACAAGAAATTTTATTCCTGCTTTTACGAAAGTGACAACTTTAACTTTATCAACTGCGAAGAAAAAGTGGGAGGGGGGTTAAACGATGTTAAACAAGGAGGAAAATATTTTCGCCTGGAGATTATAACTCTCCAGCTTCAGCTCAGAGCAGCCAATGTGCCGTCGCGCACGGTGCGGGTCGCTCACCCTGAGGCTATATTCCCCCCCCCCCCCCTGCGGACTTGCGGACGCTGGGGTCGCCTCGCCCGCCGATGTTGTCGTCAGCCTCGCCCACCTGGGCCGGCCGGCGGCTACTCGGACTCGGGGCACAGGTGCCGTCGATAAGCCCTTATCAGTCGGATCGCTTCGCCGTCGGCCAGTCGCAGGTGGACCTCGCCAGGATCATCGCAGGTGCGTCAGCTGCGTCAGCCGCGTCAGCGCCTGTTGACTGTCGTTTGACGCACTGCCGGCCGCTCCCAAGCTCCCCGCTCCCGGCTCCAGGATGTCGCCGGTGGCCCTGAGAGCGCTGGCCTGCCTGGTCGCCCTGGTCGCCGTCGAGGCCATCTACCTCCCGGACGCCCCCAGCAGCGAGGAGCAGGCGCAGGTCGCCCCCAGCAGCAATGCGCAGGCGCACGTCTCCACCGGCGTGCCCGACGACTACCGCACCCTGGAGGAGGAGGTGATCCGTGGCATCCTCGACAGCTACGACCCCCTCGTCATCCCGGAGCTGCCCTTCAACCAGACCCTGAAGGAGATCACGTGAGCTCGTCACATGTACTGTGCTTTTATTCACTCACTCTCAGAGGTTAACGAGAACGCCGCCAGGCTGCCGGGCCGGGCTCAGCAGCGGAATGAATGAAAACTAAACGTCATCGCGCAGGGCCAGCGGCTTGATCACGGATCTGACCATCACGGGCCAGTCGGGGCTCAAGGTGAACAAGCTGTCCCTGCAGGGCGCGAAGGTGGCGGCCGCCGTCACCCTGCCCTCCATCGCGGCCAAGGGCCAGTACACCATGACGGGGGTCCTGCCGGTGCCCGGGCTGGCGACACTGCCGCTGGACGGCAGCGGACAGATCACGTGAGTCGCTAAACGTCAGACGTCAACATGCAATTTTTGGCAAGGTGGCGCTGATATGAGCCACGTCCCTACGGACGCCGCGACTGTCTTTCTTTATTTAAAGTTCGCTTTCGGCCCGCAGGTTTGGCCTCTCCAACTTGGAGCTTGACGTCGCCATCGAGCTGGGCATATCAGACAAGGGACAGATCACCCTGGACGAGTGCGAGTTGACGTGGAACATGACTACCATCAAGGTGCGCTTGGTTGCGTTTTAACTCGTCGTTCAGTGCGGATCATTTTTGTTGCTTAACATTTAACTGTACTGAACGTGTTTTTAAACAACCAAATAATGATATTGCCATGAGTGGCAAGGGTTCCTTTCTAATCTGACTCTTGGACTCTAATATTTTAATTTTTTTCTCGCTTAGTTCCGAATGGATGGTGTGCTGGGTGGCAGCGCGCTCGGGAACATGATCAACAACATCCTGGCGGACGCGCTGCCCCATCTCGTTCTAAAGGTATGTTTTTTATACCGTTTTCGCCCGCGCACTGCAAAGATTGGGGTTTCTCACGTTGACGTTCAGGCTCGCATAATTTCAACTACCTCGCACAAAAATTATTGAACCGTTTGATTTCGCGACGTGACACGAACGCGATCGGGAACACGACTGATCTCCACGGGAGCATTTCGACGCTAAATTTGTTTTCCGCGATCGCGAGCCCACCGCACCGCCGAGCCGCCGGGGCCGAGGGCGCCGGCGGGATAGGCAACCCACCTCACTCCGCGGCCCGCGGGGGTGCAGCGGCGAAGGGCGTCCACCGCGCCGCCCGTCGCCGCTGCTGTGCCATCCTTTTCTGTAGATAACACGAAAAAAACAACAAAAAAACGACGTCCTGGCTTTCAAATAACAAAAACAAGACGTCTTATGAAAGAAGAGCATAGGGAGATCTTGGTTTTTCCAAACCTGCTTTGGTAACCAGGATGTCGTTTTTACCATGAAGACAACGTGTTTTTGTTTTTGCTATGCGTAGCTGGGTACTATATATTCAGAGTTGAACTAATTAATTAATTAGTATGCACCCTTAAGCTTTAGAGTTTAATTAATTATAATGTATTCATT